AATTTATCTCAGTGGAGAATTCTGTTAAATATAACAAGATGAGTGATACGATGAGATGCTAAAAAAGTATTTTTTTTAAACTTGTTAATTTAAATTTTTTTCACAAACCTTCAATTCTCTTCATGTACTCTCTACTTGCATTATTACGCTTCAAAACAATGTTTAAATTCATCTTTTGTTATGCTTGACAGCGCCTCCGTTGTTCTTTTCTTCACCTCAGCAACATCTCCAAATGCTTTCGCGCGTTTCATGTCTTTCTTCATTCTGATTTTGATATTTTCTGGACTATTCTTTCAGACCCCAGCGTGACTTTGTTTTTGCTCAGCAGTCAGAAGACGTGCAACAAGTTTGGCAACCAAACCTTTCGTTCCTGAGACTTCTACTGCAATCAGTTGAGCTGAACTTCAAGTCAATCGCTACAGCTCTATATTTTTTTTCAATACTCAATCCTTGATCTTCCTTGGCGATTCCATGAATTTTTTAACATGGTCATGTGTTCTGGAGGGAGATGGATGACTAAAACAAAATATTGTCATCAATGGACATTTCACCACTTTTGAAATGGGAAAACTACACAAATACTTATGTTTTCCTCCATAACATCATCCTTTTCAACATTTTAATGATATTTGTTTCGCTTTTTCCGAACAAAATACATAATTTCCCTAATGCAACCTGTTCAGGAAAAGTGGATTTCACACAAAACAGCTATCACTATAAATTCTACCAAAATTAGTCTTTACCCTCAGCAACAATACTCGGCTCACTGACTCAAGCATGTCAGTTCTATGCACGCCTAGTGGCAAATCACGGTACTACAAAAGCTCTGTACACCAAAAAATTAGTTCGGTTTCTTTTGAGTAACTCCTCATAATAGAATAATGTGTATATTCTGCCAGGAATTTTCTCGGGTAACAGTTCAATGTCTATAATTATTTTTCAGATAATGTTTAAGCCGTATTAACCCTTTATCTACCGACGGTAATTATAAGTACCACTCAAAAAGTGAATAAAATAATCATTTTTACAAATACTTTGAGGATATTTATCAGGCATACTCTCTCAATTCCCGTCTTCCAGAATAGATGGCAGCATGGGTTATATAATGAGTATTTTAGCAAGGAAGGCGGATAGTTTTAAAACCAAAATTGCATTTTCAGCTGACATTTTGATAGCATTGTGGAGGTTGTCATTTTTGTTCCGAAAAAGGGGTTGATGTCAAAAAGTAAGTGTCGTATTTTTGATATGTTAAGGAAGATCTTAGTAATAGAACATATTTGTAAGTGAACAGTGTATAAAATTAATTTTACAGTTGCATAACTTTGTGGTATTATAATTACCGACAGCACACTGGGAGTTGTAACAAGAACTTAGTTTTTCTTCGTCTTTGAGGCCTATTTTTTGTTGTTGCATTGTTGCCTCATTACTATTTATTTTACTTTATTATTGTTTTATTTCAAAGTTTAAAAAATTTTTTAACTTTGGTTCTGAGCTTGTTTTTTACACACTATTAAATGAAATATCTATTATTTATAAGAAAATTAACCTTTTAATTTCTTTGTGTGTAACTAATACTTAACACTAATAGAATGTTTTCAAGGTGCTAATATTTTGACCCCTTTCTTAGAATGACTTGAAAAAAGAAACTCTGTCTTCAAGAGGCTTTGGAGTTATTATAGAGCTTACCATCTAAAAACAGTGATTTACCAACAGATGATTCTTCAAATGAAGAAGTTAAAGCAAATAATCAGCAGGAACTTTCGTCAGATTCTCAAGCAAACAATGAAGAAATTGAAAAAGACCCAGGGTGCAGCAGTTTATATTCAGAAAATACAGCATTTCCTACTTCAGGATGCAAAAAATCAAAAGTGATTAGGCGAATCCAAACCGAAGTTCCAATTTTCTCCATAAAAACTGGGTTTGTGGATACCATATTTGAGCATTTGATTACAACAACAGATTACTTTTTACAATTCATTGATTGACAATTGAAAAGTTTTTTTTTTTCAAACGAACCTGTATATCAATCAAAAGCAGAATTCAGTTTGGACAGTAACTGTTAATGAGATATATGGATTTATAGGCTTATAGTTTTATTCGGCAATCATTAACTGCCTAGTAATAATTTATACTAGTCTTCGGATGTAGATACGCCAGTGAATGTCATTCAACAAACTATGACACGTGTCTATTTATAATCGATACTATAAAATATTATCAAATATTCATATGAATGACTATTTATCTATTTCATTAAATAAAAAAGATAAAATGTACAAATTTAAACCATTCATGTCTCGGTTGAATGAAAATTTTAAGAAATGCAGTTGGCCACTCACTAATTTTCAAATGGAAAGATAATCTCCCTGTATACTTTGACTCTGTAAATATCATGTATACTTCTCTCTTGTAAATATCATGGACAAGACACATGAGTAGTAGAAAGGAATCTCAAAAACGGTAGGAAGATTGATGACACAGCGTTGTAAAATACTACAATGAACACATGGGTGGTGTTGATAAGGCAGGCATGTTGAGTGCACTATGCAATAAGAACAAAAAAATCCAAAAAATGGTGGTATAGGCCCTTCTTTACTATGCTGGAAATGGCATATGTAAATTCATATGTAACTTATAAAGAGTTGCGAGAAAACATATCTTCTTTGGAATATAGGCGTTGTGTAACCAAAAGATTATTCACAAAATCAAAAGCACAATCGAAACGAAAAAAGGGAGACCCAAAACTAATAATAATGATCAAGGTTTTTGTGCAAACAAAGGGAAGAAAGGAAACTCATCTGTTTCTAATGATATTCACTTAGAAAATCGTGGATGCCATTGGCTAACTTTTGTTTTGAATCGGGGATTTTATGAATTTTGTGCATTAAGAAACATCGAATCGAAACCCCACTCAAAATGCACAACATGTAATTCATTTTTTATGTATTAAATAAAAGAAAAACTGTTTTTTTTAGTTTTATCAAACTTAAGTTTATGTGTAAGACCTGTTATTATTGTAAAAAAAATAAGTAACTTTTAAAAATCTTATAATCTTCCAAAATATTTTTTTGCCATAACATGTAGGTAGTCTATGTTTATTTAGCATATTTAAGAGTTAAAACTCCGTTATAAAAAGTCATTTGATTTTTTTTTGTACTATGAGAATATTTTAGACCGTTCTGTACTGATGGTACTTTAAAGAACCAATTTCATTAATTAGCTCTAACGAATTAAATTTTCCAAATTTGAGTCTTTTTTTTACATGTATCTCTTAATTTTCAATGCAGTAACTCATAAAAAATATTGCATGAAAAACTTTGCAGTAAATCATAATGCGGTAGATAAAGGGTTAAGCATATAAGATAACCACTGCTGTATCTGTTGTTCGTTACTGTCCTATGATTACTCAGTATCTTATTTCAAACGAAACTTAGTATAGAACATTTTCGTAGTTATTTATTTTAAACTATCATTTAACGGTACTTTTTATTTATTGTATGATATTTATTTTATTTTTTTTAACGGCTCAAACACAATGTTAATGTAGAACCGTCAAAGCTGTGTGGGCTGCAGCGTTACCGTGAACGAGCTCCATAGCACGTTCGTTTCCACAGAAAACTGGTCAATGGTCTTTTGAGGATCTTCATTAATTGCACATTTGATTTTGGAAATGCTTTTTTTATTGTTTCCTGTCAAAAGACGCACTGGGTTAGATTAGTCTTCAGTTCAGATTTGAAGAGGGAAATCATTCGTAGGCCTATTTTTTCCCAAAACATTACCTTTAAAGGATTGTCGAAGCATTCTAACGGTCTCAGCTGCAATTTTCCTAGCAGAAAGGAAAAATTCACACACTTTGTTCTTTGTGGTAGGTCATCTCACAAATCGCCAAAGATTTGAAATAGGAACACACACAACAGAGCACCTCAAGCAGTCTTCTCGAATCAGTCTGACGCAGTTTACCAACGATCGCACGAGACCTCCAACACCACCTAGCAGCATGTGTGCGACAGTTCGATTTCTGTTATTTTTAGGTCCCTCCTGATAAATATTTCAATTATAACAGGGTTTAACATTACATCGATCGTGATCGTTCGGTGGACCGTCAAAACATTTTGGAGTGATCTCCTGAAGATTAGCAGTTAGTAAGTGTATATGGAAATATCCAACATTGGCTTACATCATGCAGACTGAATCTTCTACTGACTACAACTTCAAAAACTAATTTAAGATAAAAAAATATTTTATTTTTTAATGTATTTGAATTGTTTGATAATAAATGCATCATTTTATGTCACCATATTTGTGACTTTGCTATTATGTTTGAATGGGTAGTTTTCATTTAAATGCTGTCTTAAGTGTTTCTTATTGTAGATGTTAATTACATATTCCGTATTTATTATTAAGTTATAATAAATATGCCTAGTAGCTGAGTGGTTAGTGCATCGCACTTCCCCATCACAGGTTCGAGATTCTACCCCGAGCTGGGCAAGGTTAAACCAGCCTTTCATCCCATGAGTGGGTTGATGAATGAGTACCAAGCTTGCATGGGAACTTAACGCTGGGGGTTTCACGTCAGACTGACCACCAGAACGGAAAATCTGCTTATGCAATTCACGCCCAAAGGTCACGTATACTGAGTTGCGCACAGTAGGCCTTGGCTGGGCTGTTGTAACGTTGAGTTAATATATAATAAATATTGTAGACCTTTTTCTTAGCTCATCACACCTACGCCACTGAGTGGACCGCAGCATCTTGAAAACCAGTAGTAGTCCTTACCTGGAAAATTTCGCCCACGCCTGATTTATGAAATTACGTGCATCACTAATACTCATTACTTTTGAAGTTATACTTATTTTGGGGCGTTAGAGCAATTGGATGAGGATGAATTTTTACGTTGCGAGCGCACACCATCGGGATGTTACACAAAACTGTCACGGATGTGACGCACACCGTCACGGATGAGAAAATGCTTTGTCTAGAAATATACACAAAAAATACCATCACGAGATCCAGGCTCTTGAACGAGACCTTTCAATCTACAGTCGAATGCTCTACTACTGAACTATACATCCCGTGACAGCGAGTCTTTGCTTTGCATTCCGTAGGAACGGATACGAAAATGCTTTGTCTAGAAATATACAGATCATGACAGATCACATTGCCCCCTTCGAAATTCTCAAAAAAATATTTCTCTTCACTTCCCTGAAAAAGAGGACACCCAGATTTGAACCGGGTTGCAGTCGAATGTCGACAAAATGCTTTGTTTTACGTTCCTGGGAACGGGATACGAAAACCAGAGCGTGACAGATCATTACTCCCTTCAAATTTTAAAAAAATATTTCTCTTCACTTCAGCTGGGTTTTTAAGCAGCCGAATTATACGAAAATACAAAATTCCTTTGTCTAGAAATATACATAACGGGACAGATCATTCCCGCCTTCGAAATTCTCAAAAAAATATTCCTCTTCACTTCCCTGAAATAGGGGGTACCTTGGTTTGAACCGGTGACCTCTCGATTAGCCGTCGAATGCTCAACCACTGAACTATAAACCCGGTGTCTGCGAACTTTTGCTTTGCGCTGATTTGTGACGTCACTACTAGTAAGGAGAGATCGTCCTTCACCTACGGAGCTTCTCTCATGAATTTGTTTGAAAATTATTTTATTAAACCAAACATACTTACAGGAAATTTAAAAAAATAGTAAATTAGTCTTTAAATTGTGTTTCATGTACATAAAAAATAAGAGTAAATATTAGTTTACCTATTTAAATAACAATTGCAAGTATATGAATATAGATGTATATTTACTACGAACGCATTGCGAGGAACATAAATACATTTACCACATTGTAGCAAATTATAAGAGCCTTTTGTATTCGTTTATTTATTTTTGAAGTTACCCTTTTTTGGGGGGGTTAGGGAAAAAGGATGACAGTAATTCTTTACGATGTCCTCGCACACCGTTGTCTAATATTTTAACATGCCACTTTTTTTGGTGCTATAGGACTGATATTTGGGGGATCATAATAACTATATTGTTATAAACCATATCTGTTGGGATGCACCCCCTGTGCATTCCCCCTCTACAGCGTTCAGGCCAATATCTGGGCGCCCGAGACTGATAGTCCATTAGGACCTGGCTCATTCGATCCTTCTCTAACTGTTCTTCCATTTATTATAATTTCATGTGTGTGTTTGTGTGTATGTGTTCATAGGGTTATTTCTTCTATAGTTTTTAATTGTCTTAAACTTTTTAAATTTGCTTAAATTCACAATACCTTGGCTCCTGTTCGAGTCTCGGACTTGAGATTTGAACCATGTGTTCCACTCGTTGAGACCCAACCAGTCATCTGCTTCATTCCCATTGTGTAGACGTGGGGAGAGGGCTTAAGAACTAAAATATCATGTTCCCATGTTAATCCTATGGGGACTGGAAAAAATTTCACCCCCACTCCTTAGGAGTTGAGTTTGGAACTGGATTTTTGGAGGTCCGCGATATTTTCGTATTAGCGCGAGCGTTAAGTGGAATTGGCTCCCTTCCCTACAGGGCTTTCCCAGAAATAAATCGAATCCTATGCCACCTCGGTAGACCGCACCGGGAGGATTCGATTGTTCTTCTTATGAGCATCCTAGGTATGTTTTTTCAGGACCGTAGCTCCATTTCATTACCTATATTTAACATTTTAAAATTATTTTAAAGTTATATTTTTTTAAAAATACTTTATAGCTCCGAGGATTTTTGAGATTCGTTAATGAAATTCGGACAATGGGTTCTTCTCGTTGAGCTGTTTCATTTGTTATAATTCGTATGTAGATAGTGGGTTTAGAGGGGCGTTAACACTAAAATTAGAATCCTCATGTTTTTCCTATGGGGTTCGATATTTCGATGATATAACGATATTACAGAGACAGAAGGAAGAAATTTTGGGATAACCTACTACTCTGCATATCATTGAGATGTACGTGACCATTTACGTCATAGTTGTTACCTTGCGGGGTCAGTCAACTTCGTTTTCCTTTCCCGAGCTATTACCGCCCCATTTGCAACTACAGACTACGAACTGGTTCTACAAATTCCTTTTGTGTTTGCTCTCAACCAGACCCATTTTAGAGTTGCTGGGTGCATTGCATCTGCTTTATTTAATTGTTTTAAATATTTTAATTATTTTAAAATGACCAAAACTCGGGGGGTCTTCAGGCGGATGTCTTAATTTTCTCAGGAAGGATTCTTCCCACTGAGGCATTCAATATGAGGTCTCAGGAGTCCTCATATTATTGGTCCAATTGTCCCTTTGGGGGGTGTTCAAATTTATTTAAATCATGAATATCTCAGCTGGTCCGTTTTACTTGAAGGTTAGTATCGTTCAATTCTGCTCATTACCGCCTTTCTTTCTTGACCCAGGTTGCCCTGCTGAAGATTTTTAGAAAGATTTTAATCTTGTTACGCCAAAGAAGTATTAACTTTTTATGCGCGTACTTAAGTACACACACGCTATTTTTTCATTTCGAATTACATTTAATAAAAAGAATTTTATAATAAAATTGGGTAGTTAAATTTAATAAAACCGTTCTTCGATTATTACATAGATTAAAAGTAATATAATTGTTTATTAAAATATTTTTGTTTCATCAAGCCTTTGTGCCATTTAAAATTTTATGAACAGATTTGTAATTTCATCACCGGTTTTAATATCCTTTGTTAGCTACCAAGCAGAAATTTACAAGTGAAAAGTATTTCCTTTAAATTTGATTCTTTCAGGAAACTTGCTTTTTCTGCCATGTCCCTTATATAAGATTATTACAGAAAATAAATCTATTTCTTTAGTCTACGTAATTGAGAGAACAAAAAAGTTTGGAATTTACGTTCAGCAAAAACTTGGAATATAACTTATGTCTGGAGAAATTTCCAAAAAGAAAAACAATTTTTTGAGAAAGAAGGCATGGATTTTACAAATTTAAAAAAATCAAAAAAAATCGAAGAAGTAGTTTCAAAAAACAGAATATCATGATTGAAGCGCTTACAAAAAAAAATATATATTCATGTACTTTAGAACTTTTGCTATCTTCCATACTTCAATTTTTAGATAATGTTTTAAGAAAGAATTAACTTTATAAAAGAAGTATAAATTTTTATACTTCTTTTTCTAAAGTTGCTGATAAAGGAAATCTAAATGCTTTTAAGTAGTAGAAATAATTTATCAAAAATGTATATATATATATATATATATATATATATATATATATATATATATATATATATAATTCAGAAA